AATAATGACGATCTGATCGAATGACGGGTAATAAATAGAAAAACCAAGTCCACATTTGAAGTTGCAAATATGTAGGTACTTACGCAGATACTACACATTGTTAAAAGAAGGTAATTAGAAATAGTAGTAGTACTAATATCAAAGATGGTTGAGTGCTACCAGATCATATCGAATTTAATCCAAATCTAACAACGACATTGCAAATTTTCAAGATACATAAAAAATATTATGTATACTGAAATACTAACTGCGGCTGTTGACATTCATATTTTACTCATATACATATATGGTAATAAAACGTATGCTATATATCCAATGAAAATAATAAATAATTATCGAACCGAAAAGAAAGAAAGAAAAAAAATTAAACTAAAGAAGCAGGCACGATAAATTTCGTAAATTTTGACTATTAATACGCGTAGAGAATTTAAGAAAAAAGGCCTAGGTAACCCAAATTCCATAATGGTCCATCGTTCTTACCTGTGTTGGGAGCATGCGCTGACAAACTTTCAGCTTTTTTAAAATGGTCTGGCGTTCACGGGCTCTTGCTCTATTATGAAATATTGGTGAAGACGACGGTGCGAGATATAAGTCGAGTGTATACGTGTTGCAATATCCCAACTTCTACGAAAACATGTATATTTGCATCAATCACATTATTATATGACTAACTGTTATTTTACGAGCATCTAATGGCCCGATAAGGGTATTTTATTATTCCCTAATGGCATATACCTGTCTTACGACGTTACAGGAGCGATGCGTTATGACCAGACATTGAGGTAACAATTTGGAATAATGGATCCATCTTTATAGCCGATAACCTCAGCAAGGGAAAAAAATAAATCGGTACTTGGTACAGCAGGTCTAAGCGTTGCTGTTCTAATAAATTAAAATACGTTTTATTACTATAAGAAAGTCTGGTAAAAATTTTTACCAATTAAGATTTATCAAAAAAAAACGTTCAAATAGTTTTTAACTGATAAATTGACATACAAAAAATAATGAATGAATGAATGAATGAATGAATGAATATACTTTATTGCACACCAAATAAAACAAATGAAAATTAAAACTTAATGTAGAAGTAAAGGGTACAATAGGCGGCCTTATTACTAAGAGTAATTTCTTCCAGGCAACCTTTGGATAGATTGAAAAATAAATAATTTAGGAATAAAGGTGTGGGTTAACTAAATGAATTAAAAAGAAAAATACTTATCTACAATCATAATTCATAATAATAAGATATTTAAACTGTTTTCGTGCATGAAGTTTAAAAATAAAAAAAAAGTAAATTAATGTGTATACAAAAGGCTAACAAAATATATACATACAAATACACATCAATACATACATATAAATATATACATGCCATATATACGAATACATATATCATTGTTAGGGAATAACATTATAGAGATAAGTAATGATTTTTTACAAGATTCTTGAAAATATTTAATGACTGAGCACGTCTTACTTCTAGTATGACGTAAGTCATTCCAGAGTCGCGCTCCTTGCACCATAAATGATCTACTCATAAACTTTGTTTTGTGCGTAGGAATTTTCAGCTCCAAGTTTTCTGATGATCTCAGAGACTTAGAGTGGGAATCGCAAAGAAATTGGAAACGTTCCTTTAGATAGGTAGGATATGAGGGATTGAACAGAATGTTGAAAACAAGATAAAGTATGTGAGAATTCCGGCGAAGACGAATAGGCAGCCACTTGAGCTTAGCACGGAAATGTGAGATATGATCATATTTGCGCAAGCCAAATATGAATCTTATGCAAAAATTTTGAATACGTTCTAGCTTATCAAGTAGCTCCTCGGTGAGATCTAGATAGCTGACATCTGCATAGTCTAGTATTGGAAGAAGTATATTTTGTGCAAGAGCAATTTTAGTGGCAGTCAGTAGGAAGTTGCGTAATCTTCTTAAGGATGCTGCTGAAGCGAATATCTTGCGAGTTATTTCTTGTAGGTGAGGGCCCCACGAAAGATTTCTATCAAAGTAAATTCCTAAGTTTTTTACTCTTGAGCTTAATGGTATTGGAATTCCGTCAAGAGTAACATTGGAAGTTTGCATCTGATTCACTTTGTACAACATTTTCGATGAATCGATTACCGTAAATTGTGTTTTCACGGGATTTACCGTTAAACCATGTTCCCTGCTCCAGTTCGAAATTCGGGCGAGATCTTCATTTATCACGTTAATAGCTAAGTGAATATCAGTAGGGTAGGCTTGAGTATAAATTTGAAGATCATCTGCATAAAGGTGGTAGGAAGAAATTAAGTTAGCGGAAATAGAGTTTATAAAAACTGAGAAAAGCAAAGGAGATAAAACGCCACCCTGCGGTACACCAGCAGTAGTATAAGACCAAGATGAGAAAGTGTCTTCAATGCAAATACGCTGCCGGCGTCCATACAGGTAACTTCGAAACCAATCAATTACTGTTGAAGATATGTATATGATATGGGATTGGAGTATTCCAACTAGAACCTCAAAATCGACCGTATTGAAAGTATTACTAAAATCAAGCATGGCAAGGACAGTTAGCTTACCGTTTTCCATTCCCATTCTGATATCATCTGTAATATTTACTAGCGCTGTTGCAGTACTATATCCACAACGGAAGCCTGATTGCAAAGGATTTAGGACGGAATTACTGTATAGGAAGGTGCTGAGCTGATTATAAACAAGGCGTTCAAGGACTTTGGATAGAAATGGCATTATAGATATAGGACGATAATCGGAAAAGGATGAAGGATTACGTTTTTTAGGTAGAGGGATAACTTGTGCATCTTTCCAGTTAGATGAAAAGACAACCTTGGAGATCGAGTAGTTTAAAATATGGCACAGAATGGGAAGGATGATATCAAGAATGGGGAGAATCATTTTTCGGCTATCACAATCGCTGCCAACTGCGTTAGAGGTTATAGAAAGAATACCCTTCCTAACATCACAAGCAGAGAATTGTTTAAAAATAAAGGGTGCGTAGTCGGGGGTTGGCTTTGACGAAAGAATTTTTAGTGTCTTATCTTTAATCGTTCCATCGAAGTTGGAAGAAGCGCAGAAATGTTGATTTAGTGAATCAATGTTTAAATCTTTGAGGGCTGTTTCATTCTGTGACTTGCCAATCCCCATTGACCTAAGAAACTTCCAGACTCTAGCTGGATCACCATTTTGAATAGATGTATGAATGTGCTGACGTTATGCGTCCCTACAAATCTTATTGCAGTGATTTCTAATCGCCACATATTTATCCCAGTTGTTTTCGGTTGTTTTACATTTAAATTTAGTTTTTGCTGTGGTTTTTTTTGCCAGAAGAGATTTAATGTCTTCAGTTAGCCAAGGTGAAGAACGTTGTTTCATTTTTATTCGACGAACTGGAGCATGCAGATTATAAAGTTCCGTTAATTTATTTGATAGAATATGAACCTTTTCATCAATCGAATTAGCGCCTAAAAGAGTAGTCCAATCTATCTTAGAGGCATCCTTACAAAGAATCTCCAAGTTCATACCACCAAAATTGCGCTGCAGAAGGATTTTCGACTTAGCTTTAGGGGGACGAATTTTATAGGAAAGAAAGATGAGATGGTGATAGGAAAAGACATCAGCTGGACATTGGCCAAACTTTGCAACATAGTCGGAAGAAGAAACAAGTATGAGATCAAGAAGTGAAGGATTAGTGTTTGGGCAATGGTGTGTGGGGTGCAATGGAAGTAAGACAAGATTACTAGAGTTAACTAGAGAATGAAAGCGAGAAGAACGATAATCTTGCTTAAAAAGACAAGTATTAAAGTCACCCATGATAATAGTTTGATGATAGGATGGAGAGTAGTTACAAATAATATTTTCAAAGGAATTGAAGAAGTCAATACGTAGAGAGGGACAGTAATACACACCAAGCAGGACTTTAGTATGGTGTAACTCCACCTCAATAAAAAGATGCTCACCAGCGTTAGAGGGGGGTGGCTGTGCTGACATATCAATAACAGAGAAAGGGATAAAATCGCGGAGGTATATGGCAACACCACCACCTCCGCACTAACACACACGTTTCTAATGAGATGGTAGCCAGGTAAAGAATAGCTAACCGAAGGAAGGCATGGTTTAAGCCATGACTCGGAGACAAGTATAGCATGAATATTCTTGCAATAAAAAGTGGTCAGCATATCTGTAAAGTGAGCCGGAATACTCTGGGCATTTATATGAACTACGTTAAAGTTTTTGGGAACATCAGAAAATCTGGCAGCGAGGGCGTCCGGAAGTGGTTCAACGCTACCAAAACTGTCATCTCCGCTCTCTACTGAGTAATAACTATAAGAATCATTGTAGTCATCTCTATCAGACATTATATATACATATACGCAGGTATATTAATAAATATATATGTAAATATACAAAAAAAAAGTGTGAATAAATAAATAACAGAATAAGGAAAATAAATAAATAACAAATAAAAATTTAACGAATAATAATAATAATAAAGTCAAATACTATAAACTAAATATCCAACTATATCCATCTACCAGTTGAGTGTTTCTTGATATAATAAAAATTATAGTATAATTACGTAACAACAATCCATTAAATCAATTAAAAATAATATGGCTGCGAAGAAAAAAGAAAAAAAAATACAATAAGGAAGAAGAAAAAAAAATTAAATTAAGTTGTTATACTGAAAATGGAACGCAGCATAACAAGACATTATAACACACTTGACATTTACACTGACAGCTGTCGTCCAGTTTATGTTTATCAGATGTAGGTACATATTTGTCGTTATGTGTACAAAATTCAACAATACATTTGAAATAACAGTGTTAGAAATATAAATCTGGACTTTAGTAAAAAAAATAACATTGGTATCTTACTGTGCGAATTTGATAAAAAAAAAAGAAAAAAAAAAGATAAATTAATTGCATTGCGCAATATATATACAAAATCATTTCCTGCTGGCTGTACACCTGTTTAGATTTCACCGCTGTGGACTTCGCACTAGTAGCTGGCTGGCTTAGGAGTTGATGCCGGGGCTTCAATTTCATGAATATCACTGATATTTATTACGCGATGTCGAGAACCACCTGGCCGCAGAACGTAAACAAAGCCCTCCTTTGTCCAACAGTTTGCTATCCCGAATTTTTCTCGAGCCACCATAAATGCTTCATGTCTAGACTTAGTTAAAAATTCAGAAATTGTAATACCTGATCCCTTCAATAGTGATTTGGAGTACCAGATTTTATCACGTAAAGCCACATCATGGAGTTTCACTAGTATGGGACGAGGTTTGTGTGGAGCAGTTGGTCGTCCCATTCTGTGGCAACGCTTTATATCCTCGGCAGAACAATCAGTGAACTTAAGTCTAGACTGGAACACTTCAGTAATGCTCAAAGTGATGTTTTCCTTTGGTGATTCTGGTATACCATGGAATAGAAGTATTTTTCTACGGTTTCTCATCTCCAGACGGTCCACATCACGAGAAAGGAGCTCAACTTGTTTTTGAAGGCTGGACAGTGCTTGGCCCACAAACACTTTAAAAGCACTATATTCGGCAGCTAAGATTGCAGTGCTGGCAGGTGTACTGGAGGACTTCTGCAACTCTTCTTCAAAGTTTGTCATTCTCTTCTGGAACATGTCCATCAGATCTGAAAGAGTGTTCTTTAGAGAAGTCTTCATTGTATAGTGCTGTTATGTATGTACGTTTGTTGTGATGACTTGCAAAAAATTTTAAAATCTGAGTTTATTGTTGGATTTTAATGAAAACACTCACTGGTAGGTAAGATAGGTTAATGCTTGATTATATGTATTAAACTCTTCAAAAAACTATGTATTTTACTTTAAAAATAAATAAATATTGAGGACAAAAATTTTTTGACGTTAGCTTTACAACTACCCACACGTGAAGTGAAGTGAACATAAATAAATCTTCATAAACAAGTGAATAAAAAAAAAGCATTGATTTTACATTTACACGTAACGCCGTATTTGAATGATACTTATAATGTTTCTACTGAATTTAGAAGTAACGTAACGAATAATCCGAATACATATACAGGTTGGCTTTTCTAAAGGCGCCCAAATTCACACAGGAGGTTCAGACTCGGTAGTATAATCGTTTATTGAAATAAAAACAAGCTTTTTTTTTAAATAGAATGCTATTCAATAAAAAAAAAGAACTTGTTGACAGTGCGGTAGTCATTCATAAATGCATCGTACTTTTGAAACGAACTTGTGCGCGTGTTAGTTATGAATGATCGCACGTAAAATAAATGAGTTGCCCATAACTTTTTGAGATAAGTTAAAATGAATGTAATTAATTAATTACGAGTGATTTTAAAAATTTATCATTTTTTATATAACATTATTTATGTCTAGAGTTTAATTAAAAAAAAGGATACACTTAGAAATGCCTCCCTGTATATGTTAATTTTAAGGATTTTTAATTTCAAAATTTAATCACCGAAATGAAAGTAAAAACATTACCAACATTGGTAAAATAAATAAAACTATAAAACATAGTTTTTTCATTCTATTTGGGAATTAAAAAACACATAAATTAGATGACTTTCACCTGCTTAAAAAATAATTCGATTCGAAACTGCTCAAGGCAGACATGTAATAAAATTATTGAAACATTAACATAAAAATTACATTTAACCTCAAAGAATGAAATGTCCCCATGGTACAACAACTTTAATGAAACTACCCCTGTGGGAACGTTGAAACAAATTATTTCTACTGAATTAGAATTTGCAACAGTTTTACTTAATACTTTTAAATCCAATTGAATTACTGCAATAAAACTATAATAAATAGATATTTTTAATAGATTGCTGAATACAATTAATACAATAATAAATATATAAGGTTTGTCACAATTTTTTCTTTTGTTACAATCTATAAATATATAAGGTTTGTCATGTAAGTCGAATATTAATTTAATATTTATTACTGCAAATTATATTTATGTCATTGTTTTCGTAAAGATGCTCTTTTATTCGTAAGGAATCTTTTTAAAAGTAACTGAACTCTAATAATTTATCCGAATTTAATAAAAGTTATTTAAGGATTTTATCGTGGCTTATGTAAGTTTAATTCTTCAGAAATTTTGAATACTTTACAATGTGTATTTATATGATATTTGAAAATTTTATAAATAAATGTTTTTCGAAATAAAAATATAAAATCAAAGATTCTGTACTTACCATACTTCTAGATAGAAATAACTAGTATCCCAATAAATGCATTTTTCCTGATTTCAACGCTTGGGCCAGAAGCTCTGCATATTTCGACTTTGAAGATTTAAAAATATACAAAAGTTCCAAAGATATATAAGCATTTCTGAAGATGATTAATCATTTCTGAAAATAAGGACATTTGTTTTTATCTATCAACACAAATCTGTATCTTAATAGGTCAAAGTTTTAATTCTTAATTTATTTAACTATTCATTCAACAGAATTATTGTTACAAAGGAGAATAAAAATTGTATAATAATACATTTTCCCTCGGCAACTATATTTCTAGAACGACTCACGCCGCTGAAACCGTTCATAGGAAATATAACCGCAATAGTTTCCAACAAATAATAAGCATACTTAAACACAACTCTCCATGAGTGGCGTTGGATAGCGTAGCTGCTTTCAAATAATATGACAGTATGACGTCTGAAGTCGGAGTTTCAGTTACAACGGGAGTTTTAACGAGCTACATTTAGGTACCTTATTGCACAACTTTCCAACTGCCCGTGAAACAAGCATTCCGCCCCACGGCCGCGCGGGTGTGTCGCCTCGCATAAATACAACGGTACAATCACTGTAAATACCACGATATAGTACACAGGTACGTCGAGATAAAACCGCTCGATACACGCAGAATGCGTAAATTTCACAGATAAACTGTGACCCGGAAAAACATTTTTACTTTAGTTTTCCCTACCGCCTACAGCTTTCTGAAGAATATCCCATTCTGAAATAAATCATCAGTAATGTTTTTTGGTCAATTTACTCACTGTGCGAGATCAATTTCAGTTTCGTTACAATTAACCATGTTATATTTTTATTAATTAATAATATCATTAATTTGTCATGATTCACATAAAAGTAAAACTACTATTTGTGGCGGCATTTCTAAATGAAAAAAAATACTGCTTTCTTTTTGTTGAGTGCGTCCTTTTTTTGCTAAACTTAAAATCTCAAATAAACAAATAAAATCGTTTTAAGTTTACAATTATTTTTTCTTTATAAAAAATTACAAAGACGATATTAGCAACTGTCTTAATCTCTCATATTAGAAATAAGCGCTATATAACCGTAAATATAGTGTCATTTAGTAATTTAAGAAATTATTAGCAATTATATATTGTCGAACGAGCACATATACGGCTATTATTAGTGACGAAGTGTACAAAAGGGTAATTCTATTTGATATATACTGTACTATGATAATACTATCTTCGAGTTTAATACGAAACATTTTGGGATGTCATGACAAAGCTCAAATAGTATTAATGTACGTAGATAACTGGTTAATAATAAGCTTTAATCACTTTTGTTTTCATTTGCTGGAGTGTTGCATCGCAACATTTTGGTTGTACTCCCATGCAGACGCTATTGATTTTGTCTGTGTTAGGGGGACAGGCTGCTAATCATATTATATTGTATTTAAAATGCGTTGTTCAGGGGTTGTTTTATTGTGTATGTTGCTACTTTATATTGTTGCATTGCTTGCTGCTAATTATGACAATGGCAATGCGTAAAGAATTATCTAACTTATGCCAAATTAACTTTTCTGATAAAACCGTAGCAATGAGCTTCGGGTTTTTAACTTAAATATCGCCTGGTTGATTATCGTGTGGTTGACAAAATATGAAGTTATGATTGCAATGGTTTTGTGAGAAAAACATATTTGGTTTTTCATTATAACAAATACTAATTTAATCTCAACAGAATTTTCAATATAAATATTCTCATTAGACTTTACTAGTATTTCAAAGTTTAGTTTCTCCACAGACACATTTATCAGAAATGATATCATTTAAATTTATTCGAAAGTATCACTAGTAACGAGCAAAAAGAATGCTCGTGATGCTTGACACCTCGTGACATCACTTATTAAACAAGCTGCACTTAAATACAATTAAATAAAGCGTTTATTCTATAAAAATTATACAAATCTCAATTTCGAAGTGCGAAACGCATTGTACGTATGAGTAACTCTATATTAACACTTTACACACCTGAACATTATTTAAATTAATAAATATTACATTTAGTTTTAACTGACAAACAATGACATAAAATATTTGTGTTCCAAAGCCAACAAGAACTAGAATTCCAAATTTGAAAATTGATTTATTATAATTTATTATTCTGCAATTTTCAACACGCAATATGTGATTGTTCTGATGATTTACATAAAAACTTTTTATGCAACATATGTAGGAGTAAACTGCTAAAAAATATATACACTAAACCTCTATTACATATAAAGTAAAATAAAGTAACAGCCTATACATGTCCCACTGCTGGGCAAAGGCCTCCTCTATATAGAGAGTATCAGGGCATAGTCCACCACGCGGCCCCACTGCGGATTGGCGGACTTCACATATCTTCGAAATATATTTTTGTTTTGTTATTATTTCGAAAATATGCAGGTTTCCTCACGATGTTTTCTCCTTCACCGCAGAGCACGTGATAAGTCAGCACTTAAAGTTAAAAACTTCATTGGTGCCGGCACCGGGGATCGAACTCAGGTTGCTCGAGTATATTGAATTAAAGGCGAGCGCCCGGACACTGAGCTATCACGGCCCTTATACATATATAGAGCCCTATTACATATAGGGAAAAATAATGTTACCGTTTCATACTAGCTCTAGTTTTTTTCAATGGAAATTTCTTTCGTGACTATGTGACCGCAGCAATTAGAATTAAAATAGAATACCTCATTATCTTATAGATAACAGTTTGCTATTTACTTTGAATAATTACACTTGTCAGCATTGTTGAAATAAACAGTATTTATTAGGCGTGCAACACGTCCATCAACTGTCTACACGTACATTGAATTGAACAAGGGTTGAACTTTGACTGCTGAGGCTTCGGTGCGACCTTAAAACTTACAAATTTCAGTATGAAATTTAATGTAAATTATTCAGATGACACTTTAAAATTCGTTTTTGAATGATTTTATTTCGGTGAGACTTTCAGAAAACAAAATACTACACCCATCGGTCTCTGAACTGATTACCATATGCATAATTTGTTTGTAAACTTCTGTATTTGTATTATAAATATATAATTGAGAACTTGATTTTATTTATGTTTATTTGAGTCAAGACAACTTGGAAAACAATTTAATGTCTGTCTCTAAAAGAACACTACTTTGATATTATTTTTGCCAGTTTTGCAGTTCTACGGTACATAAAAGTTTAAACATGTAATGGAATTATAATAAAAGATCTAATAATTTTAGATATGGAAAATTTAACAGAATCTTTTGAAATCAGTTATATGTGAAAAGTCGGTAAATCTAGAAGAGAATTTTGATCAACAACCACAGACATCTGAAACCCTTTAAAGGTTGCAAATGGAGCTTTCCTAGAAGAGACCGCAATAGAATCTGAAGTGAAGCCCTGCGTAGTGCTACAATGCTTGCCAATCAGGGATTAGATTTTT